GTGATAACAGAACCTAAATCGTGGTAAGGCTAGGCCTAACCAGCAGCGTTGGATAGGCTAATGTTTTCGGCGCCTACGATATTTCTTCTCACGACCTATCGCAAAATCAACATGAAAAATTCATCCGCATGAAGCATTGAGTCTAATATATTGTGACCTTTTAAGTCCTACATGAATTATTTAATAGTTGCAGTCTAAAAAAAAAAAAAAAAAATTGAAGTTGAATATTGACTATACACAAGAATCCTTTAGAAACAGCTCAGCAGATTTCAAATTTATCAAATAATCAATTCTTTTAACAATTAATCCGAACATGGTCTGCAAAGTATTGTTGATGTGATACAAGATACAGAGGTGTAGGTCCCTCATTTATGGTGCCATAAATCAGTATAACAACTTTCTTATACTACTTTTACACTATCAAGCCAAAAGAAACACGGGAGTGATACTGGAGCTGAACACCAGTGTTAAACGCTGCCCTCTATGGACATTTTTGAGGAAAACTAGCTCATTAGTCTGCAATCAAGTTTAGTTTCGCAGGAGAAAAACATTTTATTTGTACACTAAAAACCTAATTCTAACAAATATACAATCGAAAGCAATAAAATATAACTTACATTATGTTTATTAGTTTTAACTAAATATGTTCGAAATACACAAATATTTAAATTATTACAAAAAAACTGAATAATTTCAATGAAGGTGGATGGTTAAAATCCTGGAGTGTGAAAGGCAGGACTGTTTACACACTGTGTGTATCGATGTCAAAAGGACTATCCTGGAGAAGCTTCTCCTGAAAACATTCAGCTCTGTTGAACTCAGGTTCAGCACACCGGAGTCGTTGACGTTCACCTATTTACACTAACCCCAACTCCAGTGTTTGAAATCCGGTGTATCGACAACAAGAAAGTAAAAGCGGGTTTATTCCGGAGTCCCGCTGATAGTGTGAAAGGGGCATTAATTGCTACATAAAAATATTCAAGCTTAACTTCAAAAGCAAGCATTGTGGTTTATCAATCTGAATCATTTGGCTTTTTATCAAATTTGTAGCTGTATTACTTTTTAACAGTAGCAACAACCAAACCCTAAGAATCTACTGTAAAATGTGGCTATACTTTGGTACAACAATATGTGGCTTACTTGAATAAGGTTTGGCTGTAATCTGGATCCATCCCGTATGTTCCTTTCCAATATGTTTAGTAGCCTTACCAGACGGTCCACAGGCATCTACAACAAAAAACACCAGCCATCACTTACTACTAGCATAATATTCTAGTTTGTTTTGACAGGTCTAATTTCTTTATGTTATTAGAAGGAATTAAAAGTGCTCAATATAACAATCTATGTACATAAAATCTCAATGGACTAATAAAATTAAAGCAGCAGAATACATAAAATATGTTAACTAAAAAATAAGTGGCATACAGTGAGCTATAAAATTATCATTGAAATTTGCACTGTCTGACCATCTTTATCTTGAAAATCACAAATACCGAGTCACACTTGGGCACTACAGTCAACCACCTCTCATCGCTGTTATATTGGTAAAATATCCGGGATCATTTGCAAAGCCATAATGTGTTATCAACAATATAAACTAAATCTTACCTTATTTGTCACTCCCATTGACTTGAGCTTTGCAGATTCTGAGAGAAGCTCTGATAATTGTACTTTGTTTATTAACATATCCACAGGCCAGTCACCATCCTCTTCATCATCTAATGAAAGTAAAAGTTTTTTATTATCAATCATATAGAGATTAAAATCTCACAGTGCTACACAGAGAGTATTCATTTACTTGCATCTATGAATATGCATGACTTGGTCATATACTGTACAGTAAGTATTCATTTGCATCTATGAATATGCATGAATTAGCCACAAAAGCTAATATATAGTATGTGGCACAGTGGCAATGCTTTTGGATTCCAATCAAAGGGCAAAGTTCAAACTTAAGGTAGGCCACTTGTTTGTGTCCAAGGAATTTTACCAACATTATTTCTCTCTACTCAGGAGAACTAGTGGATGTGTTAATTTTTACACAAAAAAAAACCACCTCCACAAACGAATGCACATAATGTATTATATCTTACCATACACCACACCATTCATTTTTGTTGACAAAAACATTTAGAATACAATAACAAACATGAGTACAAGCCTAAAAAACAACCACATAAAAGAAAAACTAAAAAAATTCATTGGAATTAGAATGGGTTGGTCAAAAAGTAAAACCAAGTCTATGATAAACATAAGGCATAACTTACCAACTTCAGTGACATCAATATCTTCTAGATTTTCAAAGACTGTGTCAATTGCTGCATTAAATCGCTTAAATGTTGCGGATTCCATCAATTCTACAGACCAACAAATTCATTTTCATCAAGATATGTTTCAAAAAGAACACAGGTGGTTATGCTGTAAGTCTAGGAGCCGCCAAGCAAAACACAAAGTTTTGAGCCTGGTGGACAGTGCACATTATTTCCCAAACTTGCAACATTAAGATATATTTCCCGGCAGAGTTAATTAAGTGCTCCAATGACACTAGGTCACTAAATCTAAAACTAAAGTTAATTTAATAATAATAATAATAGTTGGATTTGTATAGCGCATCAAGTGAAAAAGCCTCTATGCGCTTGGTGGTTGAGCTCTTTGAGCTGGACATTTTTAAAAAAGTTATTATTTTATGAAATTAAAAAAACCTACTCCTTAAACTAAGGCATGGTTGGCCGTTGGCTTTGAGGAGTTCATCCGCCCTTTGTTCAGCTGGTTTTTATTTCCATGCTGCTGGGTGTCCAACCACCCTCATATTGGCGGCCGCTAAAGACCACCAGATGGGGTTACCGGAATTAGTCGCTGACGACTCAACCGGATGCAGTTTATAATGTCGTACCCTGGAAAATTTCTCCTCGTCGTGTGGATTTCAGGATGTAATTTAAACAAATTGGCATTGTGCAGAGAATTTAGGACAGTCACGAATGAGTGAACCCGTTCTAGAGTTACGTTGCTACGCAATCGAAAGCCCCCTAATAATACAAGCGAACCTTACAATATATGTATCCTAAATGTTAAGTATTTAGTTGTGTTTATTCTATTACTAAAAATATATACTAAAAAAAAAACATTTTCCATTAAGAATGATCTAAAAAATGAAAATGATGTATTAAATAACATATATTGTATAGTAAATATTTAATAAAATACTTTTAGCTGACCTTGATTGACAGGGTCAAAATCCTCCTCCTCGACTGTCACCTTAGGTTTCTTTTGTACTTGCTTTGGTTCATCTTCTACAAAAAAAAATTTTAAATTGTAAATGAAAAGTGCATGAGGTCAACATACAGTGGCTGAGGTCAAATATAAACCCCCCAGTTCAGACCATCAAATTTTCTTTGATAGACATGACATGACCATATATAGCCACATCATGACTATATATGGGCATACAACACTCTGTAATGTAGACAGAGCTTAAAACATCTACTTACTCATTTAAAATTATTTAATATTTAAAATATAAATTCTATGAAAAAAAAGATCAAAATAATCAGTGTGACAGAGTTTGTATCCATGTACTGGGGCAGATGCAGGATTTGATGGTAGGGAGTGCGTGAGAGTCCACACAACCTCAGCACAACCTTGGTTGGGGCTAGGAGGGGGAGGGGGACGAGAACATTTTGAGAATATGGACCTCTAGATGCATGGAAATTGCACTTTCATACCTTAAAAATCTTACCGGTATACAATGATACAATTATTTTTCTTCATACACTTTAGGGGGTGCGATGGCACTGTCTGCACACCAACACCCCCCCTCCCCCAGATGTATAGAGTAAATAAATGTTTGTTTACCTTCTTTGACTGATTCTTCATCTACTTCTTTATCACTGTCAAGTTCTGCATATCCCTTTTGTGGCCTTCCACGCTTTAGACCCCTCCCCTTAGAAACTCGACCTTCAGGTAGAGGTTCATCTTCAACTACTTTAAAGTAAAGTGTTTATACATTAATACTAAATGCCCATCATTCTTCTTCATTTACTTAAATTTTAACACAGACATATTAACAAAACACCTATTACATAGACATCATGAATACTACTGTCTAACTGAAATTATAATTAATAATTTTGTATGAATGTCCTGCAATGTATACAAAAGTCAACCCAAATTTAATGAGGTCAGGCCATAAAATGCACCAGTTATTCAATGCTAAATGAAAAAATAAATCTTGCTGAACTACAAAAAGTGATAACGTGCTTATTCACTTTGTAAGTTATATACACTAAATAAGTTTGACTTGATTTGAACTTATTTGGTTCCAATACACATAATAAAATACAGTCCTAAAAGATGCAAGAACAAGCAAAATATTAAAACAGAAATAAAAGCCTATAAACAAGAGAAAAATCTTATTTTCAGAGAGAACATTAAAAAATATAATACAAATAATTAAAACATTATTTTTTTTTTAACTTTAAAAGAATAAAAATGCAATTGATAAAATATAACAGGGGAAGATTCAAGGTAAAAAGCAGTCAGTTTAAGATGATTTTTACAAGCATGTTTACAATTTTTCAGGTTATACATTCCTTAACATCCTTTGGAAGACAATACCATTCTTTAATATGTAATAATGACAGGTCGAGGACATGCTCTTAACTATGGGGAAACAGAAATTATGAGAGTTTCCTCGGTTTTGTATTGCCTATCCCAAAGTTTAACAAAGTGTTCTGCGACATAAGATGGACATTGGTTATGAAAAATACTTGGCAAAGACGAATGTAACTTCCCCTATCATTCACACTAAGGGCCCCAATTTCTGAAAGCTCATTTGACCTATAGAGTACAACGGTCGTGTCGTCACAACACCAGGTGGCGCCCTTTATTGTCAACCATACGTTGGTTACCTTCACCTTACCTCTACCTTTATCTTAATGGTTTAGAATAGGCTTTCTGTAATAGGCATTTTAAAACCTAATAATTTACCATCAAAATGTACTAAAAACACAAAAGCTCGCATTATATTAGTTATCAAACACAAATTTAATCATCAATTAAAATTTACAAAGAAAAACTAAGATACAACATCTTAATAATTATATTATAAATTGGGATTGTCAACTAATTCTTTGAAAAACGAATATACATAATGTTTAATATGACTTACATGTTGGTTCTTGATCTTCAGTAACTTCTTTGCCTTCACTCTCCACTGCTTTGACTTCATCTCTCCTTTTCTTTTCTGCCTTGGCTTTCTCTAACAGTTCCTTTTCTCTTTCTAATTCTTTCCTCATTTGGTCAATGTTCCTTATTGTCTTTAATGACTTTTGATCATGTTTTCTTTCTACTTTCGGCTGCTCCTTTACTTGTTCCTTAGGAGTCTTTGGAGTAGCAGCCCTTGGTGAGATGCTAGCCCTAGGGGATGTACCATGCTTTGGAGACGGTGATGTTGTACCTTCGCTCCAGTGCATACTACCTGCCTTAGGAGGCGTTTTATCAAATGAAGAAGATGGTGGACGATCTAACGACAATGTCCTATTTGGCGGTATTGACCTGTCCACGGGGGTGGGTTTATCTGCTACTTGTTTTTTCTCAAGCATTTCTACAGCTGATAATTTACTAGGCTCTGTGGCCGTTTCACTCTCATCTTTAATTTCCACTGGCTTTGAAATGTCTTTTGGGGTAGAAAGTTTGGTTATCTTAATCTTTAGCTTCAAGGATTTCTCCCCAGGAGGCGGACTCACAATATCATAATGCCTCTCTTTCTGGCGTTCCTTGTTCCTACGCTTTTTCTTATGTGATTTTTCTGGTTCAGTATCTGTAGCCGAGGCACTAGCCTCTTGGCTGTCTACTTGTTGAGATGTTCCTTCATTCATTTTGACTACTGGTACAGCTGATGAATTAGCTTGAATTTCATTGATAGAATCCTGAAAAAAAATTAATATCAAACATAATTTTGCTTTTTTAATTTGAAGTTAAATGCTTATAAGAAGATTGCAACACACAAATTGTTTGACAATGGAGTTGGATTAATGTCCATTAACTTTAAAATTGTTTATAAATTGTGTCATCATTCAGTGACTAGCAAAGTTGTCTAATTATATGTCTTGTAGAGACCACATGCTTCATAGGTCGTCTAGACATAGAGTGCCAGCTAGTTTTAGTATACAACTCACCTTATGCGAAGGTCCTGCTAGAGATGGGACAGGCCCCATTTTCTTAGGCCTACCTGGTCCTCGTTTTATCACCTCAGGAGCATCATCATTATGTGTAAGTGCCCCCATAGCATTGTTCGATAACCGTAAGCTACCATCTACTTTGCCACCATTTGTGAAATTTCCTACAGATGCTTTGAAATTTAGAAACATACATTAATACAAGTGAATTACTGAGTGAAGATGTAGCTTGGTGGTTTGGCTTTTAATCCCAATATCCTAGGTTCAAATCCTGTGGTAGAAGCCAAACACCAGGATATTTTTCATCAAGACTAAAAACAACTCCACTTCTTAAGCATCATATTGAGAATTACTGTATTACTAGTATGCAGCTGATATTCTAATCAAAATTCTATAAATTACCACTTAAAATATTTAGGCAATATTTAGACAAGGATTATTTTACCACTAGCAACAGGCTTGGTACTACTAGTATTCCTAGACCTGAGCTGATCCGTTGAGAGGGATGTAGTGGGCACTGCTGGACTACCAGCTGCTGGTGAATACTGGGGATTGGTGTAGCCATTTACACTGGCAGTAGTTGGGGACCCTAAGTAAAGAAAATAAGATCACTAAATATAAGCAGATGCAATTTTTATAATCTATTTTAGAATCTAGAGAAAAATATGTTCATGAGATGGTAATATAAGTGGTGGTACACTATATATAGAATCTGACACAGTTAAATGTGTTAACTTATGTATATTGTATACATTTATAAAGGATATTCTGAACTGAATTGCTGAATTAAGACCTAACAATAAACCATCATTATAATAGTGTATCTTGATTCTTAGTATGTATTAGAATTTTGGTTTTCACTGTTTCCAAATATTGTTTATCATCAAAAGCACACAAATAAAAACAGTTTGACGATCCTCACAAAATTTGGCCGAAAGGTTTGCCGTTGAAATAAAGGAAATACATACAATTAGCAATTATCTCCCACAAATAAATTGTTGGAAAAAGACGAAAATATATTTAAGACAAAAATAATAGGCAATAATATTGTGGAGCAAAGCACAAACAGTTAGCCAACTAGCCCATGAGGAAAACATGATAAAGTACAATGACAAACCTTGGCAAGATGATTGTTGGTGAAAGCCACCCATCGGGCGTGGGAAATGAGATTGGCTATTCGTGAAAGGGGCAGAAGGGCTGCCCTGGACGCTGCCGAAGTGTGGGTAGGGACTGTGCTGCGGCTGAGACTGTGATGGTGGCTGCTGCTGTGACTGCTGCTGTATGGAAGCAGGATCAGAGGATGTTTGGTAGTATGGAGATGGTGCCACGGGTGTGCGAGGTGAAAGAGAAAGACCTGGAAGATGGAATGAAAAGAAATCACTGATGAAATGCAATGCAATGGCAATAAAGAACATATTACCAAATAACAAAATTACAACAATCCAGTCAAATGTTAAGAGGATACAGATGATAGCTTATATGATTTCTCCTACATCCAAGGATACTTCTTTAAAAAAAAAAATGATACCAGAATAATGAAAGTGGTGTGTCTTAACTTTGATGACGATGACACACATATCAACATGAATGAAATATTGTACACACCGTCTAAGCATAGATATGGCTTAACCAAATAACCAATCACATCATGACATCAGAATGTTTGTATTTTTCTCTGCATTATTTTACATTCTTCTATTGTGTAAAGTTTACACTGATGACCCTACTAAGCAGCACTACTCTCAGAACACCACACACAGGTAAATACTTTGAGGTTTAAATCTTCCTTACCTCCCATCGGTGGTACAGGACTGGTCTGCTGATTGAAGATACCAGGATTATGAGACAGTATTGCTTGCAGCAAGGGTGGCACATCACCTTCAATGTCATCATTCATTGTCCGATCTTTAAGCTCACTGAAAAAAAATATAATAAAAATGCAAATAAAACTTGGTGAATCATCAAATTACCTTAAAACAAAAATTGCAAAGCTGCTTTACATTTTTTAATTTTATTATATTAATATTATTATATATTTTAATATTTTTATTCACATTTTGCTTTGGAATATTATAATGAAAAAACCCCACAAACAAAAAAAAATCAAGGGACCTAGTCTAAAGCAGTGAGTCAATCTACAAGAATGATACTAAGCCTAAGAACTTGACCTTCATGTCACCAAACGCGAGTTTACATTTAACCAGTAATGTTCCAGCACTGGCTATCTTTAGGCCTACAGAACTCTGTAATGTTCAGATTAGACAATCTGGTTATTTTGACATGTAATAAATTATAGTGAACAAATCTCCTTAATATGTTTTTTATTATATAAATCTCAGCTGGTATATTGCTATTTTTTATTATTTTAGCAGCCAACAACAAGTAACTTGGTAATTTCATCGTAGAGTGATGCCGTACAAGTTTCTTTCACTATGAGGCTTAGGGAGTGGAGACGTAGTTAAGAACAATTCTGCTTTCATAGGAGTTGAACCTAGGATCTTAGAATTGGAAGGCAAGCATCTTACCAATAAGCTATACAACTCTACATTCAATACTAATAGAAATAGCCCAAAAAATGTCGTTTCACAAAACAAATTGCAAGAAAAGGTTTTATTGCTGAAATGTGTTATTTGGACCATACTAAACATGAATATCAACGTTGGGACATTTTCGAACATCTTGAAGTACCCTAATTTGTAGCCTAACCTAGCCCAGTCTGGCCTGGCCTGTTTGTGTGCCTCCAACCACTGGAAATTGTATTAAAATATTTAAAAAAAGCACCAACATTTTATTAAATTAGCCCGGTGCCATGCTGACTACTCTACCTCTTTAATAAATTCAATTTTTTTGCTAAAAATGCCTCCGAGGACATGCGCAATGCCTCCGACTGCCAGTAGCGCACTCATTAACTTATTTTAGCACTGAGGCATAATCCAACTAGTTGTATCAAGGTGTGAGAAAAAAAACAACAAACAATTGTTTATTTTATTTTAAAAAAGTAGCAAGCTACATTGTTTTGGCTAGCTTAAAATGACTCAGATTGTTGCCATTATGGTATGCCGGAACACAAATTATACATTATATTCCAACAACCAATATAGAATGGACTTTTTTTTTTGTACTTTTATGGGTTAAACAAAATAAACATGGTAGTAATAATCTTGAATAATATCAGAAAACTGCTATCTTGCATTATAGTCTAGGCCCGGTCTAGAATTTAAAATATGAAAGCTGCTTATATTCAGTTAGCATATTTTTATCTGCACACCAGTATCTCAGGTACTGTACATCATACAAACTATTTCTATTATACTAAAAAGGGTATGAGATATCTTTTGCACATGCCATGTTAAAAGTAAGATGTTTGTGGAATATACATTATTGATAATATTGGATTCTGATTGGTGAAATAGTTTAGCTTGATTGACGCTTCGGAAAGGTTCATTAAGGTGTAGAGTACTGCCCTGGATTCCAAGGATACACTTGGCTGGCTGGCTGCCAAAATGTCCATTGACAAATAACATGACAAGTATCATTCAAATGAACTAATGAGAATTAGTTAAATGATTTCAAAGATAAATATACTATATAAGCATTAATATGCTAAATTTGGCCAAAAATAATACTTGTAACAAACTTATAACCTGAGATTGAAATGAAATATTTGAGAATTCATACAATGCATCTAATTAATTTCAGGTCAATTCATCCTTCTATCCTATACTAAGATTGGTTGGCTTATTTACATTAAGTGCACTTCGAACTTTAGAATGTGCAACACTACGAGATTATGTGAATGCTGCTTCAAAAGATTGTTGTTGGATATTTTAGTTTAGTTTTAGTCAAGTTGTTTCCTATTTTGTATGTAAATTCTATACACCTGTTAGTGTTGGTTTAAATTTTAACCCAGCCAAGATATCACACCTTTTTTATAAGCTTCTTAACGACTCTATAGTAGAACTAACGATTCAAAAACCTGTTTCTGGGTCAGAAAAGCATAGAATAGACCTACTGTCCAAATACATAATTCCCCAAAGATTATAATTGAAGATATTAGGAATTCATCTTTGAAATATATGCTTCAATTATATTTAAAAAATTAAATTGAAAAAATATTAACCCACATCAAATTATAATTTTTTAACAGGTTTTTATTTTAATATATCGGAAAAACTAGTTGATTGAAATATTTTTGTTACGGCGGTCTAGGCATTAAGAATATGTGGCAGAGCCAAGCCAAAGGAGGGATAAGTCGAATTTTCAAAATTGAGTTTTGTACATATTATTGAACTAGACATTATTTTCAAAAACACACAAAAAAAAAATCACTTTGCGTTTTGATAGTTTATGGCGAAGTTATGGGCAATCAAAGTTAGGATACTTATTAAGTGTATTTTGAGAAAACTGGCTTTGAAAATCGCTTATCAGTTTGCTGTGAAAAATCGTGTTCTTTGAAGGTGCCTGTACATTTATCCTTAGCAACGGGTATTTATCCTACACAGAATTGGTTGAAAACTTGGCACAACTATTTATTTATTATATTAGTGTATTCGTTCCAAATTTGGATCCATTTTTTTTTTGTGATAAATTATAGTAAATAAAACTAACCTTGACTTAAGGCAAGCATTTATAGTCGAAATTAAGTTCTATTAATGTCTTTACATCAAACTGAGATGAGCATCTACTTTTGCAATTAGGTCTAGGCCTAGGCCTACATGCAAAATTTCTCACAGCATCTAGGCTAATTGTTTAGTTAAGAATGGGTAGTCATTCTCTTTGTTGTCACCATCGGCAACAAAATCAATTAGGGCTAGGCCTATCCCATCGTCATTCTCATCTTCTGAAGAAGATAGATGTAAATGCAAGTCTTCATCGATGGGCCTAAGCATAGGCCCTTGGTTCGTACAGCCATTGTTAGGAAGAGTACAGGAGAGAGGAGGAGCAGTAGCAGTGCTGCGGGCGCTATCATCGGCATTGCCGTTATCCGCATCGTCATCAACATCATCTTCATTAAATCACAATCTAGGCATGCGCAGTTACCCACACTGCATTTTGAAAAGTAGATTGTCCAATCACATTGATTATTTTATTAACTGTCGTCAAGGACGTAAAATAGCATCGTCTATCGGTTAACTTGGATTTTCAACACTAAAATAAACCAATTAAATGAAAGATTACTAAATTTCCTTTCTAACCATACCCAGCATGCTTGGATTCATGCCATATTTCGAATATAGGAAACGCTACGAAAAATAGCTATTCTGTGAGATCTTGACGCTAGAAATTTCAGGATTTTGTGCCTGTACACTAGGACAAGTTCTCTTAAATACCATTTTTTGAGCATTTATTGATTATAAATCAGAGAAAGGTAAATGTAGGATGAAAGTTCAATGTTTAATAAGTATGTTTTTGAGGAGAAAAAAAAAAAATCGAAAAAAATGACTGATTGGAAAACTGCCTGTGCGACTTATCCCTCCTTTGGCTTGGCCCTGCCACATACGCACTTTAAATGAACCTGGTCTGAAGCCTGATAATGGCATTTAAGGTTGAAAGCTTGAATGAGTTTTCGATGGACAATACCATCAAGTATTATTTCTGATGAAAGGAAAATAAAGATTAATGTGACTACAGTTCACCATCCAATTCGAGACCTCCTTAGGAACCTGAAAATCTGAGGTGGTCTCAGGGATCTGTCTCCAATTAGAGGGTTGGCTTTGTGGTAAAAGACTGTTAATTGGTTCTTTAAAAAAGTGATTTCGGTGTTACTGTAGATGGGTTTTGAATTGAAGGGTGCATTGTGACTATGATTTTCTTATAACTGAAATACTGTACATTACTTACATATATTCTGTGTTTGTTTGGCTAAGTGCATGGACTACCTGTAGCAGACTACTATCATCCTTAACATTTAGAAGCCGTCTTGCCTCCTCTGCTATATGTGGACTATACAGCAAACTTTTGTTGCCGATTGTATTTGGCATCGGCGAGGGCAAAGGCAGCTCTGATAACACTATGAACAAAGAATGAAATAAAAGTCAACAATGTTAATGTGTATCGTTGCCTGCTTTAAAATAGGCAGTGACTATTGTTACACTAGTTTCAAAGGAATTCCTAAATGTTATTGTCCTAATCCAATCCACAATCTAGCCTTTAAACATCATACTCATAGTTTCAAAAAAACCTTTTAAAGTGACCTACCCATTGGAAAATGTTGATGGTTCAGTACTAATGTTTTTGCCCCAAATACCAAGTTACTTTTTAAACAAACTCTTGCTCCTCAACCTAATTAAACTACATATAACAAATCTACATACCAAATATAAAGTTATGAAACCGGCATGCTGCATTTAGTCAACTGTAATTTGTCTACTATCTCTCATACGTATTTAATAGAATAATCATTGTCCAAAATGATTCAGTATAGTAAATTTCAGAGAAATTTACTTTTAATTAATTTTTTTCAGCATACTTACAGCAGGTCTGCCCTGTCATGAAAAACTCACTCAACTGCATTTAACAAAGTTCTAATAATAATAATAATAATAATGAATAATAATTATAGGATAATAATAATAAAATTAATAAGTTAATAATAATAAGCTAAATATAGGTAATAATAATATCATAGGTAATAAATAGTGCCCTATAATAATCTGTCAGAACGATATTAGACACTAAATGTATTAAATAAAAAAAGACAAATTAAATAAGAAAAGATGCTTTTTTAGAACTTGCCTCCTTAATACATATTGGGAGCTGGTTTCATAATGATCCCCTGCCAGAAATAAGATCGATATCCATATTGTGCTAGTATGACTAATGCCAAAAAAGTACTATACAGTTGAGTGGGTTTCTCATGATAAACTATTACATAATAGGTATTAAATGCCAGTTAAGTGAAGTCTTTCATAGACTTGCAGTTGAGTGATTTTTTATTTTTTAAATTTCATATTTTCCGTTATAATTTCAAAAATCTGAATACATCACAAGATGTGTTATATCCCCAAAAGTGCAAAACGCTGAAAAAGTGCATTTTGAAAAAATTGTCAGTTGAGTGGTTTTTTCATGACAGGGCAGAGGTGCTCTAGGCAGAGAGGTGGGATTCAACAGCTGAGTAATTACTAGCTAATTATTTTTAAAATCTAATTATATAAGACACTGGGAATTTACAGTATGTTTAAATTAGGATATCAAAATAGAGAAGCCAATAGATAATCAAAGGATAATTACAGGCAACCATTACTTTCTATATTTAATAATTTTAATGAAAATAAATGACAAAGAAAAATTCAGAAATATATTATCAACTTATTTAATCTAAAAATATAATTTCTAATAAACTTATTTCATGCATGACATTAATCACAAATTATTTAATCATTTGAAATATCATTTCTAAGCATGTCAAGAATTGGTTATTGTTACTTACAGTCAGTGAGACTTGTGATACCTGCCAAGGTAGTGATGGGAACTGAAGGTACCTCACCATTCATCTTGCAGGCTGAAAAGTACAAATTTACAGATTAAGTAAGTACACATATAGACACAATATCTGTATTTTAACATATTAAACAAGGGTGACACATCCTGTCAAAAAATAATTTGGACCCTGGATAATCTACTCTAATTATTACCAAGTCACTGAGAGGCTAGGGGACAGCTGATTATTTGGGAGCCTAGATGCTCAATTTTTGCTCAGTAATGTATGTTGTTTCAGATAACCACACAAATATAGTGTGCTTTTTCATATTGTTGAATTTTTATTGACAAACATGAGAATTATGCTGTAGTTTCTCTTCACTGTTACAAACTATCACTCAATCCTACACGGCTGGCTATCTGTCACAACATAACATGCAAAAGACAACGCTGTCAGTGTGATTCATTTGAATTAGCTACCTATCCAACTATTACTGTGTAAGATAGAAAAATCTGACATAGTCAAGTTCACTGTTGTAACATCAAGGGCGTCATAGCTTCGGTAAATGGCATAATTGAAACTTCCTTATGGGAGGAGATATACAAAATAAAGACAAAAGATTTCCCGAACATTTCATTTTCAGCTGAATTTTCCTATAATTTTTGTATTAGTCAAGTTAAGGCAATATAGCAAATTTCTCTCATTAAATAAGCACTAAAATATCATAATTAGAGTTAATATTCTTTAAATAAAAAAATCAAGGAACCATTTTAGGTAAATTGAATGAGCGCCAACAAGGTCTATAACTCATTAAGGATATCCTCTTTGTGCAATCAAAAATACTTTGCTTTTAACCTCTTGTATTTTACCAAAAATTAATGTAGTTATAACAAACACCAGACTAAACTCATAGCTGTACTTGTAGTTCATGAGAAATTCACTATATAATTAAGTTTTTTCAGCACACCTCCTGTACATAGCAGGTGCTCTAGGAAGAGAGGTGTGATTCAACAGCTGAGCAATTACTAGCTAGTTATTTTGGAAATATAATTAAACAAAGCACTGGAAATTAATGTCAAAATTGTAGGATATCAAAAGAAATAGAGAAGCTAATATATAATCAATGGATAATTAATTAGTAAATATGATATAGGGCTTATCATTAATTGTGTATCTGGCAATAAACAATTACAACCAGTAAATAGGGGTGTTGCTATATTGTATCAGTGACACATCGGTAATTTAGCACTTATGCAAAATATACTATAAATAATCAAAGTTAAATATTATATTACTCATGGACTATATGAAATACCTGTTCCTTTCATATAAGGTATGAAGGCTAAAACAAATTTAATATTTTGTAAACATGTTTTTTTAACAAATAATTTAAGACGGGTTTTTCCCCAACATAAACAGAATTTGGGGTAAATTACAAAAAATTTTGCTTTATTATAATTATTGTTTGCTTGACCATCACAGTTCATGTAATTCTGGTTCAAGTTTTTATTATATTGTAATTTATACAGTACTGTATTAGTAATAGCAGGCAGCAATTATGTAAATTATTGAAATATAAATATACAGTATCTCTTGAAATGTTAACATAACAATATTAAACAAAGAAAAAACATATTAGAGCAAGACATGTAATTATAACAGAATTTAAATACGGTACATCTTTACGCAATGGTAAATTATTGTAATTAGTATGTACTTTTACATGAAATTGCTTCATTACATATTGTATACAATATATTCCAATAAAACGCAGGACTATTAGTACAACTTGTAAATTTCTACATATTTAATTTAAGTATGGTCCAAAATAATATCAATCATAAACAAATTATCCTAATTAAAGTGGACTTGACACAAAATGATTTAATTGGATATGCATAATACATGCAATTCCATGCTTCACTTGACAAAAAATTGCAAAATACAAATTTATACTCCCACATGAAAATATTAAAATTTAATATCCTTTAATATACCATTTAGCAATAAAACAATTATGGATAATGTACATGTGTATTTTTTTTAAAACTAAATATTGGCTTTCAATGTAGCAATACAAATGGAATGCATGACTGATATTATAAGACTTATAATGCATGTCAACATATTTCCACTGGAATTTCTAAGCGATACTTCTTTCTTAATTAACTCCATTGTTGCCAACTCAAAGGTATATCATTAATGCATTAATTAAACAGAAAGTTGATGAAAAAACATTACGTTAATGGCTTTAAAAAGTTAGCATACTTTCTTTTTAGCTAAAACTCTTATTATGATATAATACTTTTAAGCTTTTAAAATTACACACCTTTATAATTTCTAAGATTATAAAATAAATTTATTGTAATTTTAGAACAAAACATTGTAAGTACATTCATTTCAATTAAATTTCAGCTCATAAGATGAGTTTTCAATGAAAGTAACTTTAAAAAATCATGTACTGTAGATACAAGTTCCTTCATCAGAATCAGGATCATGGCGCATTATTAATACCGATAAAAACAAATACCGATACAAGTTAAACTATAAATTGCCCCCACCTGGGCTACACATAAAGGTCCTCAGTGATCTGTAAAAATAAATGAAACGTACAAGTTATGAAAAAAAATATATATTTTTAAATTAAAAAATAATAAACAGGGCTGTCTTGTAGTTCTGTATTAAAGAGAAAATTGCTATAAATGTCTGTTAAGTATCTCACTATTTTACCATGATATTATCACAAATATCACCAAAAAATGGTAACCACCACCAAAAATGTCATTCATATGAAAAAGAAATGAATTGTAGGCCTACTTTTAGTTTTATATATCAATGTATCATCATCTTATAATGAAAAGTCCTGTAAAAATAAAAATTTCCTTCACACCCAACAACAAGTACACTTGCCAGTTTCAGGATGGAATGATGCTTTATAAAACAAGTCTCTTATTGAAGCAGCCTAGGGAGCGGAGTTGTTCTTAGCTGTGAGAAAAAGTTCAGCTGGGACAGGAATTGAACCCAGGACCCATGGATGAGAAGGCAGCATCTTAACCACCAAGCTATTCAAATCAACTCCACACCTAAAAAGGTCATATTATACCTACAAGTCCTTTAATTTTTTTTAATGAATTGCTAAGGTACATTATTATAATTTTTAATTAAGAAACTAATATATATTTTAATGTACAGCTTACCTGATTCGTGTTTATCAATCTGGGTCAGAAAATTTAAAGGAACAGCAACATTTTATGCTTATTTCCGCACATAAAAATAACTTCCGAGGGATGTACAGTACAGTAAATAGCAAAAGCACTGTCCAAATAATACAGCTACAAAGGTTTGCAGGGTTGTACTGTAGCTGTCAAAACTAAGGGTAGGTGGTAGACATTTTAAGGGTGGATGGATAACAACATTGGTGAACTCTAAATAATAAGAGTAGATTTTAAGGATGGGCAAGGAAGGTGGCTGGAGGGCCATGAAATTAGTTTTAGACTGGGTGGAAAACTTCAAGGCTGGGTAGTCCTGCCCACCTTCTCCCACCTTGATTACATCCCTGGGTTAGTGTACTGTAGTTTTACAGTACAAACAAGTATTATCTGTACTCGTCATGGGCTGTATCATGAAGCAGCAATGGCAAATAGACCCCCTAAGTTTTATGATAGGTCTAGGCTAGATGATTAATTAACAATTTTTTTTTATAATGACAGTAATGGGGAGGGATGGGGGTGGAAATGTTAGGGTGTCTGTTGATTGCATATTTTGTAAGTGCATTGTGTCAGAAGGTATTGTAGGACTACTAAACATGGAAGACTAGGGAAAGGGTATTTCATTTATGTAAAAAGAGCGATATTTAGGGCGAAATGAATACAACGGTGCATACTGTTTCGGCTACAAACCAATTTGGTTGTGATACATGGAACACATGCAACTTGCACAGCGAGGTTTTCAAACCCTTGACCTCAAGGCAGCTTCCAAAGCTGCTTGCAAAACCAAATCAATGTGTGTCTTTATTTAAAGTAACAATAAACCTGTGGGTAATGCAAAAGACATTTTATTTTAGTCAATTTTAGGCTTACACCTAAAAATACATGAACCGAGAAGCCTTCAACATTGGGGTAGGCCTAGCAATTAGTGTAAATACTAAGCAATTAGTAACTACTCAGCAAACACAAAATATAGTAGCATTTTCAAGGTGTTGCATAAAATACATCACAGCGCAACTCGTTTGCAACATTAACAAACAGCATTAAAAAAAAAGAAGCACCATTCTACTGTACAATATGAAATTTGAAATTATGAAAAACGAACTGATGACTGTATTTACGCCGGGGTGAAAAATTCCTGCATACAACAAATTTAGACCCTAGGACTAGCCTAGTCTAAATTTCTTGAATTCAGCACATAGGAAACATGGTCTGAACCTCATGTGAAAGCAGCTTTAGGCCTTACCTGCCTAGCTAGCCTAGTAGCTAGGCCCTTATATTTATAAATAGGCCCTACTAGGATTAGGAAATTAGAAAACAATTAAATAATGCAATCTGGAAAGAATTTTAGAATTATGTTAAGCTTATGTCATTCACCCTTGCCTACCACAGTCATAGCATAGTCCTAAACACCATTCCCTGACAAGACCTAGCTAGGCCAAGGCTAGGGCCGGCCTATGAATGCCTAGCCCTAGCCTCCGAATGGTTAGGCCTAGTGTGAATCACAATCACAACACGCATTTGTTTTTTTGTTTTTTTTAGATTGAATAGTGAATTTCATTCATTCATTTCAAAAATATCACGTTATTATACAAATGAATATCTTACATTATAAACATCCAGCTCCAAATTGATAAATGTTTAACATAAAACAATGTATCGTATACTTTACTGTCTTGGAAAACGTCTAGCTAGGCCTACCATTTGATCGTCTGCAGTATTTCAGCAAGTACGCTACAAGCAGACGCGAATATGAAAGACTCGGCCCTTGCTTGCTTGCTTGCTACTTTAGCGCCCTCTCCTGAATCACCAAAGAGGACGGCCTACGATTTGAGACCTTCCATTTCTTACCTTTAAAATGGTCTTGATTTATTCTTTTCGCAAAGAATTCCCTTCAGAATTTTAAAACCATTACTAAGCTTTCTCAATCGGAGAAATTTAGTGAGAAAAACGTACAATTTAAGTGGTCAAAGACATTATTTTGATGATATATTTCAGCACAATCGCGCCAAATATCCAAGCCTTATCACTGCGATAAAAGGATTTTGTTAATTGGTTTTACTGCGCCAAAATTTCTAATAATCATTCCTGAATTCCTTAAATATTTAGGGTTTGCAAAAAATAAAAATGCAAAATAAAAATAAATAAAGTAAATGATTTATCTAATATCGATGTTGTTTGCTCAAGATTTATTTTATTTAATAAATTGTCCAAAGAACTTCATCCTTACGCGATCTGATATCTAAACATGGCTGCCTCCATAAATTTTTCTATTTCGGAAGTTGTTCATTGTAGATGCTAGCTGTGATTTGATTGGCGAAACAATGATGAATCATTCATTCCCGGCTTTTGCATATTAATTTTAGAATTCGAGCGTGTGTCAACTCGAACGTGTTCTAAATTGCTAACTCGAGCGGATTTCGGGGAATATGCAAGTAGAACGGTGACCGGGAAGTCGGGATTTCTTACAGTGGCGTAGGCCTATCTAGTGGGGGTGCAGCAGGGGACGCAGGCTCCCAAAAATTCCCCCCAAAATACAATAAATAAAAGTACGGTAATTAAACATTTCCCCGGACTTCACCTTATTTTGCGAGAGCGCCCTCACCAAATCATCGCTTCCCCCACTTCGCCCCACCCACAACATCCCCTATTGCAAGACTCCTTGATACGCCACTGAAAACATATCCTGAAAATGATGTCTTCTATATAGGGCCTATTAAACGATACCTGGGTCTGTGGCATGGTATTGTACTTTGGTGTTTCGTTAAAGTTATCTATAGTATGGTTAAGTATTTGATCGGATATTGAGCCCAATAATGCACTCTCACATTGCATTTAATACAACGTTATTGCATCAAATCATCTTCTTTTTTTTTTAAATAGTTACATCATCATACTCAGAAAGAAAAAGACAAAAAAATAATGCAAAAGACGAAAACCAAAGACTCGAGGTTCGGCCAAACAAAGAGAAAACTCTGCACCCAAATTTTAGATAAAAAAACAAAAAAAAAAACCCTCTACACATTTATACTAAAAATTCATTCATAAATTTTATATTGGACAAAAAAAAGTCATATGAAAATCAGTGTTTGTTTTAAATAAAAGTACGGTAATTAAACATTTCCCGGCGGACTTCACCTTATTTTGCGAGAGCGCCCTCACCAAATCATCGCTTCCCCCACGTCGCCCCACCCAGAACATCCCCTATTGCAAGACTCCTTGATACGCCACTGAAAACATATCCTGAAAATGATGTCTTCTATATAGGGCCTATTAAACGATACCTGGGTCTGTGGCATGGTATTGTACTTTGGTGTTTCGTTAAAGTTATCTATAGTATGGTTAAGTATTTGATCGGATATTGAGCCCAATAATGCACTCTCACATTGCATTTAATACAACGTTATTGCATCAAATCATCTTCTTTTTTTTTTAAATAGTTACATCATCATACTCAGAAAGAAAAAGACAAAAAAATAATGCAAAAGACGAAAACCAAAGACTCGAGGTTCGGCCAAACAAAGAGAAAACACTGCGCCCAAATTTTAGATAAAAAAACAAAAAAAAAAACCCTCTACACATTTATACTAAAAATTCATTCATAAATTTTATATTGGACAAAAAAAAGTCATATGAAAATCAGTGTTTGTTTTAAGTTTGGTGTTCTGGGTCCCCATTGGCGAATTTAAAGGAAGGGGAGGCCGGCCCGAGCCCCTAAATTTTTCAGAATAGGAAAGTGAAGAAAAAAAATAGCCCTAATATTCAAGCTGCCAAAATCATAATTTTTCCTACCTCTTCCCCATCATGGATGGTGGGACTGAGTTGGACTGGTCGGTGGTCGGACCCCTATCTATGATTAAAAGTCTCTCCCTGAGCCCTATTTCGAATTCTGACCGGGCACCGGTTTTAAAATAGAACAAAAATGTAGAAACAATATATATATATATATATATATATAGGCCTAAATGTAAGCCAGGGTGCATAAAATTTCATACCTCAGCCCTAACCACGATGGGGTGGTGGCTGAGGTGGTCTATAATAATAAGCTTTATTTTAACACGGAAAAACTTGTTTTAATTAGAGTTGTTCTTCTACAAGTCAGTGTAGGAGAAGCCAAAATTTAACAAATTGAAATTAACATACCATTAGTTAATTGAACAACTTAAAGAAAAACCAAAAATACAATTAGACCTAATACAATTACACTTACTGTGAAATTCCCTCCCTGTACCCCTCTATTTTTTTCGAATTCCGCCACTGATTTTTTTTCTCCATTTTTTGTTGATGCATTAAAAGAATAATTATGCAAAGGTTAATAGAGAAGGCCTATTTTAGATAAATACCGTGAAGCCCTGGGCTTCTCTTCGATTCTAATTTTGCAAACTGAAGAGCTGGGCTTCAATTCGAGATGGGCTTCATCTCGAGGTTAAGTCCATTGGGCTTCAATTCGAGGTTTTCGGTAAATTAGGCCTACATACATAATCTCACTGAAGGACAACAATGATTAAGGCCTAAAAAAATAAATTGTTTGTTTGCCCTTCTTTTTTTGAAAATGATAAAAAGGGCGGGTGGAAAAAGTTTTTTTTTTTTTTTTTTTTTTTTTACTCACCAGATGGAATAAAAATAACCCACAGAGGCCTAGAATGGCAATTCTACATCAGACAACTTTAGACTAATTTGTAGGGAATCTGGCAAAAAATAAAAAGATAAAGTCACTCACAATTTTTTTAAATTGTAAAGAAACAAGCTAAAAAAAGTTTAAAAAAATTTTTTTTTTGGTTTTCCGCCCTTATTTTTTTCAGTGAGTTAGGGGCGAGTGTAGGGGGGCAAACATGGTTAGTGATGATCAGGATGATGATCTATAGGCTTAGGCCTATAGCAAATAAATAAGAAAAAAAAAACTTTGATCCTGCATATAATATAATCTCAATCGTACGGAAGCGTATTGCTGCCAACTAAGAAAATAACATTTAGATATTATCTCGTAATTACTAGATATTATCTCGTAACTACGAGATAGTATCTGACTCGCGTGCATTAAGAATAACAGTGGACTCTCTTCTGTTATATACTCTTTGATACTGTCCACAATTTCCCACGCTTACCCTATTATCTCGTACGTACGAGATATTATCTCGTATTACGAGATAATTATCTCGTTATTTCGAGATAATATCTCGTAATAACGAGATAATATCTAAATTTTATTTTTTTTAGTTGGCAGCAATACGCTTCCGTACTTCCGTAAGTAACATAGTAGAATATGAAGATTCTTGAAAAGTCAGTTTCATCCCAAATCTACTCTTACCTTAATTCTAATCATCTTATTTCTAACTCTCAGTCTGGTTTCAGACCTCAATATTCTACTTTAACCGGACTTACTAACTTATGATAACTGGCAGCATAAGTACACTAACAACAAAAATTAACTGGCACTCTCTTCATCGATCTTAAGAAAGCTTTTGACATTCTCAATCACAATATCCTCATTTCTAAACTTCCCTTTTATGGTTTTTCCCCTTCAACAATCTCATGGCTTCATTCTTTTATTTCCAACCGTTCTCAGAAAGTACTCTTTGATCAAACTCTTTCTTCGACTCAAGTTTGTTCTATAGGTGTCCCTCAAGGTTCGACCTTAGGCCCTCTTCTTTTTTTTTATCTACATTAATGACCTTCCGACAACACTTACCACTATCCATCCTAACATCAATGTTGATATGTATGCAGATGACACAATCATCTACTAGAGCAACATCTCACTTCAACTTATAGAACAGAAACTTAACTCTACTCTCCAACTACTCTCTGTGTGGCTCAAATCTAATAAACTAACACTTAATGTTAATAAAACCAAATCTATGCTCCTTGGCTCTTCTAACAAACTGAAAGTTCATAATAACAAAATCAACCTTCATTAATTTTAGATAATACATATATTCAATCTGTAACTTCTCATAAGCACCTTAGTGTAATCATTAATAGTCTAACTTGGAAATCTCACACTTCCTCTCTCTGTAAAAAAACTGAACTCCATTGTCTACCTACTTGCACATACCTCTAAATTCACTAACTCCTCCTCTCTTCACCTTTTATATAATTCTTTATTTCTTTCTAGACTTGATTACTGCTGTGCTGTCTGGGGATCTAAACCTTCTACCACAATATCGCTCCTCAGTTTATCTGTCAATCTATCACTAAAATCATTGCTAATGGCCGCATGAATACTCGCCAGATTACTAAAGGTGATCTTCTTATTCCTAGGCTCTGCTTAGAACTTTTAAAACTTTCTTTCAGCTTCAATGCCCCCTCGTTCTTTAACTCACTCCCTTTAAAAATCAGAAATTCTTCAAGCATCTCATCATTTAAATCTAACCTCAAAAGCTATCTCTCTCTCTCCTTGGTTTAGTTTTTCCGCCTCTGTCTCTCTCCCCACCCCTCTGTCTCTCTTTTTTTCTTCAAACTGGCCCTAAACTTTAAAATTAAAATTAAAATTTTATTTTTACTTCGTTTTTTTTTTCTTGTTTTTTTTGCTTTTCTTTATTTGCCTTATTATTCTGCTTTTAATTATTTTATAGGTAATTTGATTTTATTTTAAATTTTATTTATTTAATATGTATATATATTGTAATAATTTCTTTTCCTTTGTTACTTGGTTTTTATTATAATATTTCATATTAATTTCTTTGTTTATTTATATTTCCTTTGTTACTTGTGTTATGTTATTATTTTAACTTATAAATATATATACATTTTTTTTAAAATTTTATTTTTAACTTTGTTATTTTTTGCTTTTTTGTGCCTTTTTATTCTGCTTTTAATTATTTTATAGTCAATTTGATTTTAATTTAAATTTTTATTTATATAATATAGCTTTATGTAATAATTTCTTTTCCTTTGTTACTTAGTTATTTTATTTTTTATTTTTTTAAATTTTTTTATTTATTTAAAAAAAAATTATTTATTTATTTTTTTTTTTTCATTTTAATTTCTTTGTTTTTCTATTTATATTTCCTTTGTTTACATGTGTTATGTATTGAGGGTCCCTAATGATCAGCTCCGGCTGGATGGACAACCCTCGTAAAATATTGTTGAAATAAAAATAAAATAAATGAAAAAAATATATATAATTTGACCAGGAAACGTTTGGAGGAGGAATTGTATTAGGTTCACACGCTCGAGTTCCTACAAGTTGGCAATGGCATTGGGCACATTATGCACGCTCGAGTCGGCACGTTCGAGATATTATCCAGAAAAAGTTGTAATAATACATAGCCGAGGCTTATGTACGTATAGTGTATGTTTAGTGTACATGTGAAATTCAAAATGTTCACCAAGAAGTTCAGGATAAAATCGAATTCTGCAATCAAAGGCTCAGATCGGTAGGTATGAGCCTCTAATCCAGAGCCTAGGCCTAGGCCTAGGAGGAGGAGGCCTGCAGGCCTAAGAAGATTAGAAGGAGGAGGATTGATTTGATTTTGCCGCAAGGCCCTGGGCCAGTATTTTTAACAGGCCTAGTCTATGCCTAGGCCTAAGCAGGCAGGCCTGATAGTTGTTGCCTGATAGTTGTTGCCTAATAGTTGTTGAAATGAATTGCATAAATGACCCAGCCTGATTACAGTATCAGTACTGTAGGCCAAGTGTAGGCCTAGGCCTATCTATTCTCTCTATCCAAAAGATGTCCGAAAAGTGTGGTCGATCGAAATAACAACACCACCCAATTTTTGTTTTCTAAACACCTAAAAATAACCTCAGAGGCATTTTGGGCTATCAATTTTTTTCATTTTCTTTCTTTCTATTTTTATTTATTTTTTTTTACTTTCCAAAGTAGATCACTTTTAGAACTTTTAGCCTAGCAGAAAATATATTCATGATATTAAAGAAAGCCTTAATATACTTTAGCTATAATACAAACATTTCATTTTTATATTTTTTTTCTATCAACATAATGTAGCTTGATGCCATGTTAATGCATGTAATTATAGACCTGTATATTTTCTTCCTATTAAAGCCGTAAACTCCGGTCACAAGTCTCACAACAATTTGTGCAGCTGTCGGATGAAGATGTTGGGCAACTCATTCCAAATAAGGAGGACATGTCGGTGATGAAACTCTACACACACAGTGGTGCAAGTATCCTTGTGTATTGTTTAGGCAAAAACCCATTGTTTTTTGAGCAGGAGAAACAATTGTTTCCAACAGGTATGTAGGGATGAATTTTATCATTATATGCATTATTGTTTTTTTTAAATTAAAGCTTATTTTTCAGGCCAAGATTCGAACCTAAGACATTCCAGATACTGTTGGGTGCTCTACCAACTGGCGTAAATTACTCTCTTTCGTATCCCCCCCAATCGGGTTGTAAACCCAAGCCTAACAACTATATATTTTGTATATTTTATTTAGTGTTGCATAATGCATCAATAAATTGATCGATCAATTCATCAATCAATCAATCAGGCATCAATCAATCCGTCAGTCAATCAATAAATCAATCAGGCATCAGTCAATCAATCAATCAATCCATCCATCAATCCATCAATCCATCAATCAATCAATCAAACTAATATATGTCTATTTACACAAATAATAATAATGAGTTGGAGGAATGTGTTTATTAATAAAGCAATACAAAAGTTTTTATTAACTTTGATAATAACTCCATTGGTAGAACAACTGTATGGTAATATGATTAGCTTTTGTAAAACATAGTCTGTCATGGAATTTGTTTTAGTATACTGTTTCTGTTTTTTTTTAGTGTACACTTTGTGGAAATGTCCAAATATATTAGCATATTTCACAACATGGCCACCGGTCTTAGAAAAGTTAAAGGGAGGGGCTGGTAAGTTTTACACATTTCATCCAAATACAAATTACAGTTAGGCTAAACTTGCCTAATTGACTGTGCCTAAGTCGAATAATTTCTAAGTTGATCTTATTTCACATGTCAAATTGTTGTGTTTTCCATTAACAATCTGTAAAGTCAAATTTCATCAAAGTCGAACAATATTTCAATGGCAAGTTCAACTGAAATATATGCATAAATAGGAATTTCTCATTAAGAAAATATAGAAAAATTTAGTGTCAAATAAAATTAAGTCATAAGATAAAAAACAAAGTAAAAAAGAAACACAGGTAAAAAAATAACAAATTATATGATAAAATAAATAAATAAAAATAAAAGTAGTCAGATAAATTGGGTGATAATAATTTAAAACAATGAATAAGAGATAATTACACAATAAAATAATAAACATGTTTATTAGAACAGGTAACAAAATAATATATATGATGGATTTAAACAGAAAAAATAAATAAAAATAACAGTAAAAACGTAATAGGCATATTAACACTACATTGTGGCTCATTAAACAAGTTGATATTTCCTATTACCTGTACTTAGATCTCATGTTGCCTGGAGTTGTCGCTAGTAGCCTACCAGCCGTTGGTAAAGGTGACGTATGCGGTATCAACCTAGTTGGTAACCAGGCAGCGGTTGCCATCGGTGTGGCACATTGGTCAACCGAAGATATGATTGCTAGCGGTATGCGAGGCAAAGGGGTGTTGACTCTACACACCTATGGCGATCAGTTGTGGTAATGTCACATCACTAGATTTATTGTGTCAGTGGTTGCCCAAATTAAATCTTGGCTATGAAAATAAGGCTAAATAACAAAAATTACTGGTTTACCATCCCTGCATGCATCAGGATTTGGCCATGCATAAATTTTTTTGGCCCTGACTTGGACTAAAACTATCCAAGAAATATTAGGTCTTGATCTTGGTGTTTACCATTCCAACAACCAGGGTGTGGTAAAACGACAGGGAAGCACTGCTCAGATTAACCAACAGTAATGAGTAAATAGATAAGTAAGATCATGCCCTTAGCATGAATTTAATAGTATAAAATAATAATAATTTAATAGTAATTAAGATGGGCCAATTCCCATTTATTGTAATTAAAATGACAATGATAATGGCTATGTTCTCACACAGCAGCTAACGGTTAGCAGGATCCGGATAATGGAATTATTATTATTTTATACTATTAAATTCATGCTAAGGGCATGATCTTACTTACCTATTTACTCATTACTGTTGGTTAATCTGAGCCGTGCGTCCTTACAAGAAGATTCCGATCCGGATACCAAGTATATGATGATCGAATCATTGGCCAATAAGAAACTGGAAATTGTAAACGTGTACGTGTGATTGGTTAGAAAAACTAATAGCATGATAGAAAAAAATAGTGTGATAGAAAAGCACTCAACTTGCTACTAGGGCTCTCGTGAGAACCAGGCTTCTATTATATTTCATATATTTAAAGGGCATATGGAGACAAATCTTCACCACCAGAAATACCCATGGAAGGAGTAGACCCATCCTTAAGTACCACAACTGATGATGCACAACAAGTAGCAGGTGGTGCAGGAGAATGCTCTATGGGAGATGATTTAGAGGGCGCCACACAGGTTGCAGATTGCAGCAGTGGTGTGAATCAGCTGAGTCTAGATGTAAGTGACAATGGAAATGATTGTGAGGTTGAAGAGGTGGAGGAGGAATCAATGGAAGAAAAAATAGGTGAACACATTGTTATGTTAAATAGACAAAGGCTGAATTTATGTGCATCACAATAAAAAATTCTTTTGTCAATAAAAATACATTGATGATAATTATAAGCAAAACCAATATGTGTAATATGGCACATCATTTACATATTTAATTTTTATTTATTATCATTTATTATTTATTATTTTTATTTATTTTACTTATTTATTGAAACACCCAACAGTATTAATAACTAAGATATACGAAATAGTCTATGCACTGAATATTATTACCTTTTCCTTATTGCATCAAATACATTCAACATAACGATGCAACAACGATAACAACACAATAACTGATGAACTTCGCCGTAGATGGATGAAACGCCTTAAGTGAATACATTTAAGTTTAGTTGAACAAAAAAGAGATTAAAACGTATCTACTGACTATGAAATAACCAGATGAATTTCTTCCAAGATAAAAACATTTCATTTCTTTTTATCCTTAGAAAAAATGGATAATTTGTTGATGCAGTGTTTTCTGTTCAGTTTGAAGACGTCTGTTAAAAAAAGCAACTTGCCTTTACTAGCCAGTACATTCTATGCTCAGCATATACAGAAATGTTGGTGAGTTTCTGAGCCGCAATGTGCCTTCTGCAATCACATAACAATGTAACGTGAGGTAACATTAATCCTGCTATTCATGTCTAAATATCAATATCCTGATCGCTCCTTTCCCAGTGGCTGGCTACGATGCAGTTTGTGGGAAGTTTTATCTGTTCTATGCTATTATTATAGTGGTGCTATTATTTATCATAAAAATGTAAATACCATATAAAGTACATAATTATATTCATTTATGTATGTGAATATTGTATGTAAATATATTAGATATAAATTGTTTCAGATGGAGGACTGAAATGCAACTTACAATAGTGCACCGTCTTCATGAAGAGTTGTCAAAGCCATTGGTTGTGTGTGCAATGTGGCCCATTTGTACGCAGTACAATCTTCAGAAACAGAGCAGCGTCAATTCACCACCTAAATGACCCCACTGCAAATATATCACAAAAATATAATTAATTTATATTATTATTATTTGTTGTATTTATTAACTTGTAAATAAAATAAAATACTTTTTTTTCAGTCCAGCAAATAAATCACTTGACATCAAGAAGTCAAGTTATAAGAAGCTGTCCAAGTTCTTACAGATTATGAATGACCGAGGGTTGGTAGAGATCAAAGAACACTCCAAGGGTGTCAGCAGCATTGTGGGAATCGACAAGTCACACGATGAGTGAGTTCACAAATTGATGTCATTCTCACTATTTTTCTCTTGAACAATCAGATGAACTCAATTTGCTACAGACTACTAAAATATATTTAAAAATATTGGAAAATTATATTATTAGGGTTGTAGCTGTGGAAAACTAAGGGTGGGTGATGATAACATTGGTAAACTCTAAATAATAAGAGTGGATTTTAATGATGGAAAAGTGGGTTAATAAAGGTGGGTGGAGGGCCATAATATTAGCTTTAGACTGGGTGGAAAATTTCAAGGCTGGGTGGCCCCGCACACCTCCGCCTACTATAACTACATCCCTACTTCATTCTACCTGCTTCAGTCCCTCTCCCCATCTACACCATCTAATTTTATCCTCTCTGTCAGTATCTCTTCATTATTCTGTTTTTCAGTCCCTTATTTATAATTCTCTTTAATGATGTACAATTTAATTTTCATTTCATTTTATTCACCTCAACAGATTACAAAAAGAACACATCAAAAAGACAGACAAAAAGGAGGCGGGCTTCCCAAAAAGAGATTCAAATCTCTTTAAAATTTGAATTTGAGATTCAAATTTGAATTATTAATCTAATTTTTAACGCTCATTTCGTAGTCTGCGAAGCTTTGTCGTGCCTGAGGAGTTTGAACGCTTAAGAGCAGCAGCAGCTGTTGCAGATGAGGTTGCCAAGCAGGAGGAGACGGCGCACACATACCAACCTCCTGAAGTGATAGAAATGTTAGGAGTAACATCAGCTATGCTACCTATATTCCAACCAAGTTACAAGTTAGTTGATGGATTTTAAACCCAATGTATTTTGATGATGACAAATGTAATGACAATGACGTGGCAACAACGTTGATGAAAATCTCATGAAATTGTACAGGGACTGTCTTTTGCACTAGCCTACTAATTTGATTAGTCTGATACATCTCATGAATAAACTCAACTTTGTTCCCTTGACCTCATAATGATGACTAATGACAAAAATGATACAGTAATGTGGTGGTGGTTATGATGCTAATACAGTAAGGCCAGACGTTTTTTTATAGCTTGTTATAACTTATTTTTGGTCAATGATCATAAGAGGGCGGAAAAAATATAAACATAAAAATTTGTTTTCTTATTTAGCGAATGGTTTTACCAAAATCATCCAGGCAGAGCAGAAAATAAAAATTGATTGTTGAATATATAACATTGTAGTAATTGATTGGATGGTTAAATGCTTTAAATTTATATAATTAGGAAGAAATATATTTCAAGGCAGCAGCGGGTGTAAGAAAAATTTTACTTTATTCGCTAATTGGCCAAAAATAACATTTTATTTTTATTTGAAATCATCATTGTTGGCGGACGGCAGGTTAGTTAAAAAATCTCGCCTAATGATGAAGAGGATGATGATACTAATGATGATGTTAGTGACACTGCTGGTAATTATAAGTACTGTAGAACTGAGATGAAATGTTTACAAACTTTGTAATTTCTTTTTATCGCAAGGAAAGGATCTTGGCTTGTACGCAACATGGTTAAGGAAGTTGTCACGCAGTACATTAAGGAAAACCAGTTGGTGGATATTAACGATACAAGGTAATAAAGATTTGTTATATTATTGATCAAGTGCAGTTGCCAAGCCAGCATTTGGGAAAGGCGAGCTGGGTGGGTGCTGTCAAATATTGTGAGGGAGATATTTATACAGTGAAATATTTTGTTTGTGAATGCGGCCCGATAGGCACTTAAATTACAAAAGTTTTTGAACATTCAAATGGACAGTTAATTGTAGGTAAAAAATAGTGTAGCTTAACTTGGTTTGCAATTTTCCAGCAAGTAAAGCATAATAAACACTGGACTAGACAGCGCACCTTCTTGGCCTGCGCATGACATGTACAGGACCCTTAGTGGAGAAGTAAGTTGTAAGAATGAGTAGTCAACATCTGTCGGGTTGAAGCAAACAGCTGTGAAGCTAGCCCTCAACCCGGAAGAAGAAACAACATGTGAGAAATATCACACTCTAATAACAATCTATAATATTGTTTACTGTTGTCTATGTTACCTTGTTCAGTGGAAAAAATTAAGATTTTCCAAGATACCCTTAAGATGATTGAAAAAAATTCCACCATACACCATAAGTCAACGTTACCAATATTAGATTTGAATACATTTTTGATAAAGCTTTACTTATCATACCTACCTACCTATCAGTCAGCATCATGCATTATCTGCACTTGCATCCATGTGGGAATAACCAAAAGTTTGTATGGAGTTGGTTGTCGGTTAAATTAAAAAAAAGATCACTTTTATTGAGTGTGAACTTGCTTTGTTTTCATGGAGTACAATTGACGCATTTGCTTTTTGCTCATTAAACAACTGGCCATGATTGTTTTTTTCACATGGAAAAAATAATGCACTCTTTTTCAAAAACCAACTGATTGGGTACACAGGGCTTGCATATCATTATAATAATCTCATTGTTGTTCTCACCTGCAGTATGATTGTGTTAGATCCTCACCTGTCTGATGCTATACTGAATAAATCTGAGTACATCACTCACCTGAAATGGGACCAGGTGTTTGCAAGGTAAATGTCCTAACTCAACCCCAACATCCTTAACATTGCTCTTGCACAAATGGACATAACCATAAACACCTTACATTCATATGTACCGTTTGACCAGACAGCCTATGGGAGGCCCAACAGCCAATGGTCAATGGTCGTGCACTTGTAAAGCGCATATAACATTTGTCTCTATGCGCTCTGCAGAACAGAAAAGAAAAAAACATGGATAATGGTTGAAACAGAAAAGTGGTGGAAAGAAAAACAAACAGGAAGTGATAGAATAGAAAAACAACACAGAAGTGAAAAGAAAAAAATTTCAGGATAGTTACATTTTTAAACAGCATGAATTTGGCCCAAAATAAGATAATAAATACAGTAAATGAGAGTGATGTTAATCTCGTTATTTTTGATTGGCCTAATGTAAAGATATTGCCTTCACACACAACCAGTGAGTAAATTTTAGTACTGCATTCATCTTATTGTGATACAATAATCAAGATTAATTTATTATTGTCTCTCGGCCAATCAGAGAATCCAGCATGTTTTCAGGAAATGAAAATTAAATCTTTTCATTGGATATCATTTTTTTTTGGATTGCAGCAATCCAATTAGAAGCTCTGTAGAAAGCAATTTAAACTGATTGTGCATGAGCCAACATGGGCTTGTAAATCTACAATTACAGTGACCCTCAGGCAAGATTCAAGGCTCAAAGATGGTGATAAAATATCATTTTATTGTTTCTATCAGATTCTATGAGAAGATGCAAGCAGGATATCAGGTGCTGTTCCCGGGAGAAGCACCATGCAGTAAAACTGTCAAGAAAGGCAGGATACAGCCCATCAACATCAAAATTGAACAGAAAGCTGGAAACAAAAAGGTTAACTCAAAATTTTATTTTGTTCTTAAAAATATATAATACAGTATATAATTATAAATAAAAAATTCAACTATCAGGAAATGATACTTCATTTAGACGAATATTGCTTGCCTAAGAATAACTCTGAATGGATCTACAGTACATCCTCTTAATACGTTATTCCACGAATTTCCAAATGACCTGCATAACCCCCACCCTAACCAAACTATGCATTCTGGGTTAAGGCTGTTACAACACTAATGTTCTATTGACCTTATCCCCGATCTCATTTTACTTATATGGTTATAGGAACTTCTTTGTCTGACTACCTGCACCCTCAAAATCCCCAATCTGTATGTTTTGTATTTTGTGATGTTCAGGTTAAGAAAATATATTAATGACCATATTTTATAATTATCAGACTACTACACTTAAAAATGAATTCATATATTTAACCTTTATTCACAGGTCACACTGGTAAATAATCTTGAAACGTTCAGCATTGACCCTAAACAATTCTCACATGAGGTACAAGTGGGTGTGGCAACAAGTACGTCAGTTTCATCACTTCCTGGCAAAAATGCTGGGGTCCAGGTACTGGTACAGGGAAACAAGATGGACTACATAGCATCATTATTAATTGGTTAGTCTAAATTAAACTATCTATCTACTACCACCATCTACTAGTATGTCCATTGACCATTATATTAGGGCCTGTGGAACAGTGGCGGCGCCAGGGTTTCCCTGACAGGGGTCCAAGTTCCCCGGCGGGGGAGGGGGGAGGCTGATGTCCCCGACGAGAAAAAAGTGGGCATGGTCGGTGTCACTAAAAACCTTTCAAAAGTGGTCTAGTGGAAAATATGACAAATTAGGGGTTTCAAAGGCTTATTTAATCGATTTAGTGTCTATTAATATGTACAAAGTACATATAATTTTTTTGAAATTTTTTCTCTCTGACGAATTGCGGTTTTTCTCCGGGGGAGGGGGGCTGCAGCCCCGCCTAGCGAAGCCACTGCTGTGGAATAAAATGTTTTCTTAAATTGGTGTTTGTTTATTGCGGAGTTTTTCCTTTGTGTGCTTTTATACAATCAAGTTTATAATTTACTGATATGAATAAGAATATGTTATATGTGATGGGATAACAAACGTTACTATATTATTTCTATCTTTTTATTCTGGTCTATTTTCTGACATTGCAGATAAATATGGTTTACCAAGGAAGTACATATCCGGTATTGAAAAGGCTTCGAAATCTGCAAAGAAGAGGTGATAATACTCATCATATTGCTGGCATGCATCCCTTCATTCATTCCTGCATACGGGAGAGATAATGGTGACAAATCACACAGATGCAGACTAAAGAAATATAATTGGAATTA